TGGGAACAATCAAGCTTCTTTGCCACTAAAATTACTGGGTTTTTCGAACATGGGTCAACCCGCTCAGATACAACATTTGGCTCGCTTCGTATTTGAGGAAAAAAAGCCGGGTTTGACCCCTGCTGCTAAGCAGCGTAGCCCCTGTCCCCCTGCAGCTACGTGTTTTTTTATTCTTTTTTCCATCTGAACCTCCCTCCCCAGTGCTGCTTCCTGTAGTGGAGTTGTTTCGGCTATTTATATCAGAAGCGACTGGCAGGGTGTGTTGATGTCTGTTTGTTGCGCTCAATTGTGTGACGTAAATTAGCGGGACGACCCGGGTCTGATGTTTATTCCTTCTGATAGGAGGCAAGGTGTTTGAAAGCAACTTTAACGCAGGTTGTTTGCAGTCGTTTGACCCAGGTTGACATTCCCACTGCCATTAAAAGCCAATTGGTTTAGGTTTAAACAGGTTCTTTGTCCAGTGGGAAAGTATGAAGTGTCGACTGCTGGACCGCTGACTGGACCGGACCTCAGCAGAGAGCCATGGCCACTCATCCTCAGTCGGAGGAGAGGGGCTTGGGGCCAGTAACAAACATCCCAACTCTCCCGAAAGTTCTGGGAGTCTCCTTGATATAGATAGTTGTTAATGGAAGCAATTCGGATAAATTATCCTGGATATTAGACTGTTCGAGGTGGTGTTTTTAATGCAAGGTGAGAGCATGCAGGCAATACAAATAATTCGTGCATCATTACTTAGAATTACTTCAATTGTGCAGGCACAACAAGAGACAGCGGGGTGTGGGGAAGAGGTTGCTTGTGAAACCTGTGCGTATCTCTCCAAAGCGATGCTCTGTTCAACCCGTGTTCCAGGTGACTGGTTGTCAGAGAGTACGCTGATTGGATTAGTCAGAAAAATAAGCCAATAAGTTTCGGTTTACTCTCTGACGGTCACCTAGTTACTACTTAAAGCTGTGCATCCTGTGAAATAGGTTGAATCCTCATTGACTCATTTTACAGTGTGTATGCATGGGGCCATGTGCGGGCCGGTTGTCTTCGGCGGTGGCCGAGGGTTGGGGCGTATGGGGGTTGACCGAAATTTTTAAAAACCCCCCCAGACATTTTTTAAGGTATGAAAAGTAGGACATGTCTGGGAAAAATAGGACGTCTGGTCACCCTACCATATCAACAACTTGATGTTTCAATGAGTGAGTGCTTGTTGCTATGATGCGTCTTTGCTCAGCAGTTTCGCTCATTGTAAACCAACCAATCAGAGCGCAGCTCATCTAAATACTCATGAGCATACCATAAAAGGAAGAGGCTTTTAACCAGGCTTGCATTAGGGCTCATAGAACAGCAAATATGCCATTTTTAGCCCAACCAATGTTACAAAACCTATTCAGAGACCTTAATGACCAAATACCCTTTAGAATCATTCTATGAGAACTTTAATATTGTCATTAAAAGTTACATTGTTTTGTTATTCTCTTCTCTGCTGTTATTCTATTCCAAAAAATATATTGAATTGTATTTGATTGAGTAGTATTTCAGCTTGGAATGGGTTAAAACTAATCAGAAGTTTTTATGCAGCTCTATAATACTTACATAAATGTCTGTTTTGGGTTAATATTTGAAACCAGCGATGAACACAGGTGCATGTTTACCAAACACTTTAGAGCTGCTATAAACGGAACAGTAATTAGAGAATAATTTGTTACCTCAGAAGGGGAGCGGCGTTCTTTCAGCCAAACATCCATGAAAACCAACTGGTATTTTATTTTATAAACTAGTCTGTAATTCGTTTGTAAGTCTGTTAACGACGACTTACCCTGATGCGTGTCACCGACTGCACCGCCTGCTCATTCTCTTGAAGGGAGCCCACGTACATATCTTTCTGAAAGAGCGGTGCGTTGTCGTTGACGTCCAGCACATTTACTCGGATCCTTCCCGTCGTTTCTTCCCCCCCACCGTCCCTTGCCAGCACGGTAAGAGTGAAGCGACGCATTAACTCATAGTCGAGGCTGGCCTGTAGAATAACCCAGCCTGTTTCATCATCCAGTGAAAACCTACATGAGAAAAAAAACAACAGTCAAAATGAGAGAATAATCCTCCGTCCTGCACATAGCTTAGAGTTATTTTATGGCACTTAGCTCAATATTGGACAGAATGTAATGATTAAACTCTACCAGAGTTGCATCATTAAGTAACAAATAACTGGAAATATTTCTAAAATTAGAAATGTATTCAAATTTATTGTGGATTAAAATATATTTGGTAAAAATATGCACATACACTGGAAAAAATGTCTTAAATTAAGTGTATTTACCCTTAATTTGAGTAGGTAATTGAGATGGTTTGCCAATATAATGAGTATTTTTACTCTTACAAAAAGATAATTAGATAATATGCACTTTAAATAAGACAATGCATTTGAGTTTTCTTATTTTAAGTGTAAATTGTCTTGTTCCATTGGCAAAATGTCTCTTTTACCTCCTCAATCCAAGAACAAATGCACTTATTTTAAGAAAAAATGACTTATCTAGATTTCTATTTTTTTCCAGTGTAAAAGGTACACTGGAAAAACGATGTACAAATAAGT